TTTCAAACTAATTATCATGAAGGAAGCAATAAAAATAAACACACACAAAAACTTGTTGGAATTAAAGTAGTTCATCCTTAAAATTGGTATGCCTATTATCACTGTAAAATAATAATTATGCTTAATAACTCAACAATCTTCCACATGATACTTACAAAAACTATAAATATCGACACCTCTTAATTTTTACACAATTAAAACATGTTAATTTTTGAATTAAAAAGACTAAAAAACACGCAAAGATCGGATGTACAAAAAATTTGATTATTAAACTATTACATTTCAATAAATTATCAATTATATATTTTTTATGAACATGGATTGTTATTGTGTATGAGAGGTTATGATTGCTTCTACTTTTGAGGCATTATTGAAGTTGTGATTTAATAATAATAATAATAATAATAATAATAATAATTATTATTATTATTATTATTATTATTATTATTATTATTATTACTTTTGAGGTTATGAAACTTTTTTTTCCCTTGATAGGTTTTTCTATTAGAATATACTATCAAGGTTTTTAAAGAGGTCTATTGAAGTTTTGGCTTTTAAAGGGAAACTTTTGAATTGAGCTTCTGTCCTCAATTACGTCTCTTAAGTTTTACAGTGGGCATCAATATCTTTTTGTTTATCTTTTATAAACTTCACTTTTTTATTTATTTATAATATCTAGTGTATAATTAACGTGAGAGAAGAGAATTTTAGGAAGTGCCAATTTAGTCGCCTTCGTTATCATTAAAAAAAAAAAGAGCAAAGAAGAACACTTTTTTTATTTGAATTTGAAAACTATAATTCTAATATAAATAATTTAGAATTTACGATCTTTTAAAAAGTTAATTTTAAAGAAAAATTTTAGTATTTTTTTCCACTCCAACATCTTAAAAATAAATAAGAGAAAAAAAATCATAATTGTCTTTGTCTACTTTGACGGTAAAATTATTGATTTCTAAATTAACTCTTTTATTGCATTTGATTCTATGTAATTTGTACTAAACATAGGGAAAATTGATTCTCATAATCTTAGCATAAGAAATATGTATATGAGCCAAAATATATTTTTTCAGATTTATATGGATCAATGCAATGACATATATACAAGAAAACTCCAATGGTAAGAAAAGACGATTTAGAGTTATTTGTTCAACATACAAATGATAATTCCTTTAGGAAAAAAAATACAAATGATAATTCTAAGAAAAAAAAAACAAAAGAAAAATTTTAAAAAAAAAAAAAAAAAAAAAAAAACATGCATTATCTTCGTGGTACAAATTGATTATTACAATTTTAGTGGAAATCTGCATAAATTTAGGCATGCCCCGTTTGAAGTGAAAGGCTGTCTCCACTGATTATTACAACCCTTATGTACATGAAGAACAAGTCTATTCTATTTATATTATTTTTTATGAACTTTACATGTATTCATAATTACATTGGCTCAAAAATTCATAATGATAGTGCCAACCTTTTCATGTTTTATTTAGCAAAAATCCTTTACTTGTTTTTTGAAAAAAAAAATTCATAATTGTCTTTATCTACTTTGAGGGTAAAATTATTGATTTCCAAATTAACTCTTTTACTACATTTGAGTCTATGTAATTTGTTCTAAACTTAGAAAAAATTGATTCTCATAATCTTACCATAAGAAATGTGTTTATTTTTATTTTTTTTTAAAAAGGTTAAGATTGGACACGTTTTTTTTTTCCCTAAATTGTTATTCTATAAAAGGAGACCACAATGGTAGCTCTCTCATCATATATCCACAATCTAATAGTACTGTGTATATATATATATATATAAAATAGTCTGGAGGAAAAAAATCATTTAAATTAAACTTAGGGAAAATTGATTCTCATAATCTTACCATAAGAAATGTGTTTATTTTTTTTTTTTAAAAAAAGGTTAAGATTGGACACGTTTTTTTTTTTCCCTAAATTGTTATTCTATAAAAGGAGACCACAATGGTAGCTCTCTCATCATATATCCACAATCTAATAGTACTGTGTATATATATATATATATATATATAATAGTCTGGAGGAAAAAAATCATTTAAATTAGAGTCTATCTAAAGAATCATATTATGACACGTTGTTCAATAAAATTAACTGTTAAAGTATCAAAAATATAAATTAAATATTGAAGTATTGAAAATTTAATTAAAAATATTTTATGTTTTTTAAATGATGTGATCTAATGTAGTCTGAAAAACATAATTTTTAAAATTAAAATGGACAAATGATTTCAATTAAATGGGTTGTACATGTGTTTCCTTCTATATAAGAAATTTAGATGGAAGTACATGTTATCAATTATTATCATGTCGTCGGTGAAATTATTGTGGCACTTAGAGAATATAGATTTTTTCTACTTCTTTATAAATAGATCAATTATTAAAATCAAAATCCAGATGTGGTCCCAAATAGTAAGAAAGCAAATAAATAAGAAAATTAGATTAATATTGACATCATTATATTTCTGGGGGCACTCTAGCTTCTTTATAATAACTAATGAATTTCAAATAAAAAGCTTAAAGAATTGCACAAATATATGAGCCAAAATATGTTTTTTCAGATTACTTTATATGGATCAATGCAATGACATATATACAAGAAAACTCCAATGGTAAGAAAAGACGATTTAGAGTTAGTTGTTCAACATACAAATGATAATTCATTTAGGAAAAAAAAATACAAATGATAATTCTAAAAAAAAGGAAAAAGAAAAACTTGCGTTATCTTTGTGGTACAAATTGATTATTACAATTTTAATGGAAATCTGCATAAATTTAGGCATGCCCCACTTGAAGTGAAAGGCTGTCTCTACCGATTATTACAACCCATGTGCACATGAAGGAGAAGTCTATTCTATTTATATTATTTTTTATGAACTTTACATGTATTCATAATTACATTGGCCCAAAAATTCATAATGATAGTAACAACCTTTTCATGTTTTATTTAGCAAAAATCCTTTACTTGTTTTTGAAAAAAAAAATCATAATTGTCTTTTTCTACTTTGAATGTAAAATTATTGATTTCCAAATTAACTCTTTTACTGCGTTTGAATCTATGTAATTTGTTCTAAACTTAGGAAAAATTGATTCTCATAATCTTACCATAGGAAATGTGTGTATTTTTTTTTTTTTTTAAAAAGGTTAAGATTGGACACGTTTTTTTTCCCCTAAAATATTATTCTATAAAAGGAGACCAAAATGGTAGCTCTCTCATCATATATCTACAATTTAGCTATATTCATGATGACCTCTTCATTGCCTTTTACAATATTGTTTCTCCTCCTCTCTCTTACCCCCATTCTAGTCACTTGTCAACTATTCGATGATGTGCCTACTGGTCATCGAAAGGTAATTAACATTTTTTTATATAGAAATATTCAATATTATATAAGTTCTTCTAAAATATATTTTACATACTGGAATTGACAAAATTTATACAAAGATTCTATAGTTTTAAATTCTAACAATTATTTATTATAGCCTAATTTATTTTATCAGGATGACTTAGTTAAATATCCATTTTTCAGTTAATTTTTTATTTTAATTTAACTTGTTCAATTTATTTACTTATTATTGACAAACAACTATATGTGTCAATTTCACAAAATCATGCACTTCCAACTTCCAAGGGAACGTGACTATATGGAGGAAAAATAGATTTAGATCTCCTGTATATTTTATTAAGAAACTATTTTGGAATAATGAGATGTTGAAAAAAAAAAAACTAAAATGGGCAATATATTGTACAAGACTATATTATTGATGAAAACTATTTTGAAATTTAGTCGAATCAAAATCATAACCGGTGTGATCTCAAAATTTTTTATTGTTAATTGCAACTAATTTTATAATAAGGTTGTTGGGGTTGATTTTTTTTTTAATTAAAACCTAGAAATCAAAATGTAACTAACGCTTTGCACTGGAAATGCAGGATTACATTGTGTTTATGGGTGATAAGCCCAAGGGTTATGATGAATGGGCAGTATCATCTCTTCACGTGAACATTATACGAGAAGTTGTTATCAGGTTATAGGAGCATTTCTTAATTATGATAAATGTTAATTTTAAATTCTCACACTCAAGTAAATCAACAACCAAATTTTTCTTGTGCTAACTATAACAATTAATTATTTTATTTTCAATTTAATTGACATCACTAGGCAGATTAATCCTTAATTGATTAGAAATAATACTCTTTTCAGTGATGAGCCACCAACAGGACACATCCTTCGTAGCTACAACCGGACTTTCAATGGATTTGTGGCTAGATTAACTGAGAAAGAAGCTGAACGAATAGCCGGTGGGTATCAAAGAAAATAATCATACATATATATATATATATATCATCCTATATATATGCCACATATATATATGTACACAATGGTTATGTTTCATGCTAATTAATATTAACATTAACGTTTATATGTATACATGCATGTTGTATAGAAAAGGACGGGGTCATTTCTGTCTTTCCAAACAGAATTAATCAGCTTCAGACAACAAACTCGTGGGACTTCATTGGGTTTCCCACAAATGTACCGAGAAGCCGTCTTGAAAGTGATATAATCATAGGAGTACTCGACACAGGCATTTGGCCAGAATCAGCTAGTTTTGATGACACTGGATTTGGACCGGTGCCTTCCAAGTGGAGAGGCACGTGTCGAGTCACTCCCGATTTTCGAGGTTGCAATAGGTAAGCTTTTAAAATTATGGGTCTGTTTAGTTCGTTGATTCGAGTTAAAATGTGATTTTATGTGAGAGTTTTTTATTATAATAAAAAAAGTTAAATATGATTATTTCTGAAAACTTTTTACTGTAGTAAAACTCGAATCGATAAAATAAATGAAACCTATATTTTTAAACGGGTTTTCAATTTTCTAAATACTTTGTCATACATATAATACAAAAGGGCAAGTAAATAACATTTCTACCATTCTTTTATATATTTTTTTAAAAGAAACTAAGAACTATATAGCATATACCTGTTATCAAATGCCTTTTTGTTTTAAGTTATTAGTTTGTTATTTTAAATTTTTATAAAAGCATGTTACTGAGAAACATTTGTTGTTGCTGTTGTGTGTTACTATATATAGGAAGTTCATAGGAGCAAAGTTTTATTACACGGGACCAGGACAACCTGTTTTAACTGCAAGAGACTATGAAGGACATGGATCACACACAGCATCAACAGCAGCAGGAAATTCTGTTAGCGGGGCAAATTTGTACAGTTTAGGAAGCGGAACCGCACGAGGAGCAGTTCCATCTGCTCGTATTGCCGTCTACAAAGTCTGTTGGCCCGACCTTGGCTGTAGTGATGCTGATATTCTTGCAGCATTCGACGATGCCATCGCTGATGGTGTTGACATAATATCCGTCTCAATTGGATTTAATGATAATAGGAATTACTTTCAAGATTCAATTGCCATTGGCTCTTTTCGCGCTGCAAGACAAAATATTGTGCCTTCAGTTAGTGCTGGTAACGACGGACCATTACTACTTACTATCAGGAACTTTGCACCTTGGCTTATATCTGTTGCTGCTTCCACCACAAATCGTCGCTTCCTTACGACAGTTATTTTGGGTAACAACCAACGTTTTGAGGTAAATATATGTAATTAAAGAGGTAAACCAATTAAGATCATTAATATGTATGCATGCTATTATATCACTACGTAAGATCATTTTTCAAATCTTATAAATATTGTATACACATGTAATATTTTAAGGTTTACTTTTTTTGTTTTTTTTCAATTTTGGTTTATGTGCATAGGGATGGTCGATAAATACTTTTAACAGTATTCAAGCTACTTTAATATTTGGTGGGGATGCACCAAACACTGCGGGAGGTTTTACCCCAGCTCAATCAAGGCACGTAACAACAACTTAAATTATATGAAACATATGAAAATATACAAATTAAATATTAAAACCCAAAGTTAAATTAATTAATATGTATGTTTAATGCAGGAGTTGTATAGAAAATTCGTTGAACGCGAATTTGGTGAGGAGAAAGATTGTTGTTTGTGATGGATACACTTCTGTGAGAGAAGCCCAATTTGGTGCTGTGAGAACAGCATTTTTTGCAGGTGCAGCTGGGGTTATTGTGAATGGCGTCTTTCAAATTTATGGAGACGATGTCAATAATATAGTTGCACCCCTACCCTCATCCTACGTTATCGACAACAACAACGCAATACTTGCGTATATAAGATCTACAAGGTATTACTGTAAACCTTATATTAAATGTAAACAACCAAACTTTTAGTAATTAGTCCAAAACTAATTAACAAAGATACAAAAGTCAAAAATGTTGTTTCAATTAGTACCATTAGTTATGTATGCTAGTAAAAATATATACACATATTATTATTATTATTATTATTATTACCTGCAGCAATCCAGTTGCAGTAATTCAGAAAAGTTCTGAGCAACGCAACACTTTTGGCCCCTACCTAGCTGCCTTTTCATCAAGGGGTCCAAGTCCATTCACTAATAGTGTTCTTAAGGTGTGCATATATATATATAGATTATTCATATATAATTAATTAAATTGTCAGATTTCTTTAACTATGCAATCTTTATAATCGCCAAATGCAGCCAGATTTAGCAGCCCCAGGAGCTGAAATTTTAGCAGCATATTCCCAGGCTTCCTCAGTTTCTGATGTACCTGGAGACACGAGAGTTGCGCCATTCAATTTTGTGTCTGGGACATCAATGGCCTGTCCACATGTTTCGGGTGCTGCCGCTTACTTGAAATCGTTCTACCCTAATTGGTCTCCAGCTATGATTAGATCTGCTCTTATGACTACTGGTACTCTTCCTTCAACAATTAATAATGTATTTATAGCAAATGTGTGTGTCTGTATATATACTTGTTAGCTAATTAATTAATCTTATTGTTGCAGCCACACCCATGAATTCCAATCTTAATAATGAAGCCGAATTTGCATATGGAGCGGGCCAAATCAACCCCACTAGAGCTTTAAATCCGGGGTTAGTATATGATGCTGGTGCGGCTGATTACATTAGGTTCTTGTGCGGAAATGGCTACTCCAACACTCAAGTGCAAGTTATTACTGGAATGCGCAATGCTTGTACTAGTGGCGGATCTAGCCGCGAGCTTAATTATCCTGCCTTTGTTGTTTATGCCTCCCCATCACAACCCTTCAGTTGTGATTTCCGTAGAACCGTTACAAATGTTGGCTCAGCAACATCAACCTATACAGCACTTGTGACTGCTCCACAAGGACTTAATATTCTTGTAAGCCCGAATACTTTAAGATTCACATCTTTGGGGCAAACTGCAACTTTTTCCGTGAACGTACGTGGAACTATATCTGGGGGTCCTCGTGTTGTCTCTGCTTCTTTGGTGTGGGATAATGGTAATTCTCAAGTTCGGAGCCCTATTGTTGTCTATGTTTCATAATAAATTAGGGTAGCAGAATAGCAAGGAGACAAATTCAATAATATTAATAAGAGTAGAAATCAGTATCTACGAACTTGATAAATAAGAATTTGCTCTTACTCTGCTTGCATTTTAATATTGTATTTTGTAAAATGACATATCTATGAATATATATATATATAAGTCAACTTTATTATTCTTATGTTTTTTGGTTTTTATTTTGAACATTGAGAACATGCATATGTGGTTTCCACTTTTGAACATAGCAAAGTGTTTATACTTCAAAAAAAACTCCTTTTCTAATGCATAAATTTAGACATAGGTATATTTTTGCTCCTCAAAATCCTGCTAACTTGCACAAACTTAACAATCATACTAAAAACTTCCAAAACACAAGTTCATAGACATATTCAACAAAATCTTTTAAAACTTTAAACTATTGCGGAAATGACTGCGTGCGGTATCTATTCTCTGACCTCCACTCCGCTCGTCCGCTGCCTCGCATCATTCCATCAAACATTATGTGCAGGTTGCTTACCTACAATATAAATACTCTGAAATGAGCTTTCGCTTAACAAATAAGAACTATTACTCGCAAAATAACGAAAAGTTCACATGACTATATATGCATGAACTGATTATACTGACTTATGATGTTTTATCATAGTTTTACTGTATGAATTTATCTTATTTACTGATGGGCCCGAGTGCTCATACCGTTTGCGCCCAATCATCGGGACGTAAGGGTTTGCAAGATCACCAACAACATCGTGATTGAAATTGAACTGAGTGCCTCCCTTACAGAGGACCCTTTTTTGTTCCTTTATCTCCCTTACAGAGTCTGATTACCTCCCTCGCGGAGGCTGGTACGGCACTCAACTGAGTTTTTTCTTATAAGTTCCTCTTAACTTATTAAGGTGTATGCAATATGACATAACATAGCATACTATAACATGGAATGTACTCAAACATATATAGTTTATGTGCACTGCTTAAGTGTATGCAGTATAACATAGCATAGCGTAGATAACATTAAATGTACTCACAAACACATATAATTCATGTGTACTGTTCATTTTAAAATCTATTTATACTGAAGGCGAGATTCCTACTTACCTGTTTTAAGGAGTGGAACCCTCTATTCATCACACTGTATGTTCTCTTTCTTGCTTATTTATGAGAATAAACACCCACTAAGAGTGTGAGATTAACTATTACTTGCTATTCTATTTTAGCAAGCTTATAAGAAAATATGATTTCTCTACTTATGGCTTTCTTTCTCTTTCCTACCTTAGAGAATTGAAAACCTTGTTTCAAACTTAAAGATCAGGTTTATTGAATCCTGACAACTTTGCTTTTTATTAGCAAAGGCTAAAATCAACATACTTTCCTGAGATTATACTTCGAGTTCTTCAACAAACTCCTCTGTTCAACACCAAAATTATTTTAACAGTTATGCAGTGTTTTTCTAAGAAAATAGTTTAAAACTTCTATTTAGAACTAAAACCAAGTTTAGCTTTAAATTCTAGAATTAAAACTAGGTTTAACTTCAAATTCTCAAACTAAATTTCGGCGGAATTTCACCTTATTTTTATTTATTTATTTATTTATAGGATTAAGGAGGTTATATTCAAAAACTGCGCAATAGCAATAGAATATTATCTTTTTTATGTAAGATTATAGTTTTACATCTTCTCTTTTTCTTGATTTGGTCTTACGGGGTGAAAGCTAGGCAAAGAACACTAAATTGTGTTAGAAAGATGTTCACCTAAAGAAAGAAAGAATTATTTTGAGGATTATTTTTATAAATACTCTTGAACTATGTATCTTTTTCGGAGTGTATTTTGTTTTAAAGTGCTCTTTAATTTTTAAAACAGTTCAAAACACTCCTCGATATATTAAAAAACATATCAAATTGTTATCTATGTCTATCGCCGTCTATAATACTAACCGTTTTGCTGACATGGCATATGATTTAAAACTGAGTACATAATTCGGGGGCAATTATGCAAATAGTCCTTATTTTGAAGATGGGAGATGCGGAAGCTAGCTCTACTTGTTAAGAAACTGAAAAGGAATTTATTCTGATTAAACTAGACAAGACAAAGACAAAGACAAAGACAAAGACAGACACAAAAGAAACCTCGATGGAGTAAGTCAAGCAAATTAGGATTCGTATATTATTTATTTCTATTCTGTTCTTTTAGGCATTAGGCAATATACCAACCCAGAAATCCTCTATAAACTCAATAGATTTGAGAAGTCATTTCCACAACAGTTAATAATTTTGAAGACTAAATAAGAGAGAAAAAGTGCCAAAGCGCCCATCCATGGAAATGCAAGATGATCCTAACTCACCTCCTTCATACTCTTATATGGACTTTGAACCTTATTGTGCTTGGCATAGAGAAGAAGGAGTCGACATTCTTGCAGTCCATCTTCATGGTAATATACGTATATATATATATATATATATATATACATATGTAGAAATACATATACATACGTATACATACATACATACATGTGTATACTATAATTTGATTACTTTTAACATTATCAATGCCCGGCATGTTCGCCTGCATGCTGGGCTGAGCGTTCGTCCACTTTAAAGTAATACTTAATTATTTTTAATATTATCATTTTGTTTTTGAACTTAAAAATGAGATATTTAAACAGTAGACTTGATGTGGATTTATCGCTAGTCTATGTCCTCTCGACTACCATATTGATATTGGCATATAGTTATGTATATGATATGATTATTATAATAATATGTACGCAGGTTTCAAGAGGGAACAAATGAGGGTTCAAGTAAACAGCCAGAGAATACTAACAATTCATGGGCAGCGTCCTTTGGATGAAACCAAATGGAGCCGCTTCAGCAAGCAAAACAAGCTTCCTAATGAGTGCATGGAGGACGGAATCCGAGCAAAATTTGCTGCGGGCATTCTCACCATAACCATGCCTAAGAGATGTTCATCATCGACAGCCCGTCCTCATCAGCATCATCAAGAGACTAGTACCAGGGATCAGCCAAAAGCACAAGTACATGAGGAGGATGCTAATATGATCAAAAGGAATGATAATATTAATGATAAAATGAAATCCATTTCGGGAATGTTGGGAATTGCTGGAAAGTTTGCTTCTCTTGTGCTTCTTCTTGCAGTTTCTGGAGCTTATGTAAATTGTATTTCTAAACTGCGATCATGTGCAGCTCAAAACTAGCAATCTAATTAAAGCTTATCATGTTGTAATAATGCTAAATTTCATGATGTGTGCGGCGTGCTTTTGTATATCGATGGATTAAATTAAATTGCTTCTCTTGTGCTTCTTCTTGCAGTTTCTGAAAGTCGAGTGTTCGATCCACGCTCACGGCATGTAATGTTTTCAATCTGTTTTCTATTTATTTATTTATTTTATTTTTTTTGGAAGGAAAAGGATTCTTTCCTTTCCTTTAATGAGAAAGATAAAGGAAACACCTTCACTTCTCACATTAAAAAAGTAATGAATTTCTTAGTACACTTATGTTTAACAACAATACAATGTGTTGTTATGGTTTTAATTAAATGAACTGTGTTAGACTTCCAGTAAAATTCTAATTTTAATAATAATATGAATCTTTAAACATTCATCAAGATTTAGATAATAAATTCATTGTTACGTTGTTGAATTATGTCGCTAGATTTGTGACGCGAATCAAAAAAATTTATTATGTTCTAGTTATTGAAATTTCATTTGCGAATGTTTCATCGCATGAAAACAACGACATTTTTGAGATTAGAGATTGTGACAAATTTTTATGAAATCTGAGACTCTTAAACATAAATAGTAATAGAACTAAGCTAAGATTCCCTCTAATTTAATCATAAATGACTATTTATGATGGACTAAATATTGTCTTGAGTTTAACGTTCGCAACGTGCGCTTGATTGTCGTCAAGTTTTAAGACGGTGACTTATTAGAGTTATTTTCGCTCTCATTTGCATTTAAAAATGGCTTTGTTTTTGAGAATTTATTTATTTTTATTTTAGTTTTAGTTCATATGCAATCAACTCGCATCTTCAGCCGTCCAATCAGCTCCCAGACGAATCTTGACCGCGAGTGCGGTTCACTCTCAGCGTGCTCGCGTCAGACAACTGCATCAGGCCCCTGCCCATCGTTTTGATCCCATGCGACGTGCCCATTCCAAATCCGTGCGCCCTCATCTGTAATGCACCTCAAACGCGCCACGTCACCAAGCACTTCCATTGGCCAATCAAACGCTGCACGTGGACTGCGGGGCCTGCCAATCCTAAACTCTCTTTTTCTCTCTCGGCGCGTGAATCCACAATTTGAGCCTTTTTTCAACTGCAGTAAAGAAGGAACAGACCCCGTTTTGCGAATTCTCTCATCACAGATTGGAAAATAGCCGTTGGAGAGCTGGTAGAAAAGTATTTGGGAATTTACTTTAGATAAACTCGGGTCCCTCTTTAAGATTATTTTCTTCATATAGCACCACCTAGGAGCGGAAAAGACCTAGGAATGATCTATTTGTAGGCCTCCAAGGTTTAATTGGGTAATTTTTAGGGCCCAAAATAGGGTTTCTTAATTGCCAAGTTGCGCATCAACGCTAACGGAGCATTCTGAAAAATCGTGTGACAGCACCTGGCGTTGCAGCGCCCGTTTTCTCGAGCCGCGGCGCCCGGAACTTCTCTAAGTTGTCCTTTTTAAGCTCCAAAGCTTCTTTTAGCGTCCAAAACACCTAAAAACATAAAAACACAATTAAAACACAAAATACTCAAGAAATAAGCAAGGAAACATGAGAGAATTAATCGAAACATATGTGAAATTAAACATTTATCGGTGACACTATGTGGTCTTACCACACGTATCTTTTAAAATTTAAGTTTAAATAATCACATTATTTAATGAATAATTAATTCTTAATTAATTATTTCTAAGTGATATAAATTAAGAATTCTATAATTCTAAATATCAATGGTTTGATAGGATGAATATATGAATGATAAAGTGAAGTTAAGTCCTTAGTACATTTGTACATAGAAGTTTTCATATTTTATTTTGTTTTCGTATCTATATCCGTTTAAGTTCTATATTATTTCATTTAGTTCGGTTGTCTAGATAAAGTTAAGTTACGATAATCACAGTACTTAGTGGCAATTTAATACCCAATCCCTATGGAGACAACACTCACTCACCTTTTACTATCAAAACTTGATACCGTACGCTTGCAGGCGAACAATTAACCTATCTAATTATATCTTTCTCCTTGAGTCTCATTGATTCTATAATGGATATTGATTCATAAAATAAATTCATGAATCGGAGCTCCTACTAATCCATGTACCGAATCAATCCTCAAAGGAATTATTTATCCGCTTATTTCTCAAGAATGAATGGATTCCATCTCGTAATATTAACATTACTAACTACCTAATTCATCATGTCTCCAATATACAAGGGATATGATTTAGAATTTCAAAATCCGTACCAATAAGTCAAAAGACACGAATTCATAAATAGGAGTATGCTAATAACTCAAGATTAAGATCATTCTATATATGACCATCAATAGACTCAATTAGAATTTCTATACTTAACGAAAATTCTCAGAAATTCATATTGTGTCTTTTCTCAGTCCTACATAATCACATTATGCAAAATATACTCATCTGATATCTCTCCATATCAACAATGCAGATAAGCTCGTTCCATTCTTAACGCGAATAACATGTATTAATAATATTTTAATTAAAGATTCTTAAACTTTAATTTAATTCATTACAGACTTATTTCGATTATTATCCGTAAATATTATCTTCTAATATACAACACTTATATACCATATTTAAGGTCACATAAATAATCAATGAATTTTCAATAATATGCATAAAGTATATAACAATACATGCACATAAATAATGAAATTTCTACTTTATTAAATAAATAATAAAATTTAGAATTACATCTCATGCTTTAAGGACATCATTCCTAACAGTACCTTCACCCAAGCCACACAATATAAGCCGAATGAAGTAATAATGATCCTTAATGATTTTGTCTATATTAGTGGAGAAGGAGATAAAAAGCAAACCTATGAGACTTGTTCATTTTTTGAGATCTGATGCTTAATTGATATTTTTAACCGTCATCTAATACACGTGTATGAGGCATATTAAAGGACGGTTTTTTGCAAAAATCGTCCTCTAATGTACACATTAGATATGTGAGCTTTTAACGACGGCTTTTGTAAAAATCGTAGTTAAGTCTTTAAATTTTTTTTACAAAAAATATAGCCAAAACGTAGTTCTTTATTCAAACAGCAATTTCTTCAAACATCCCATGCAAACAACTTTCAAAGAAACAATATTGTAGTCGAAACAAGTTTTTTTTCTCAAATAACAATTTCTTCAAACGACTCAAGCAAACAACTTTCAAAGGAAAATTTTAAAAATTCTTCTCGTATATGTAACACAATATATTAAAACCTAGAAACAAAGTTTCACTATAAATTCTAACAACAAAACTACTTACATACAAAGAAAACTCTAAAATCTAAACAAACTCATAGTTGGTGAGAGAGTGTCACGAGGTCACGACGGCCAACAAAAATATCAAGGTGTGGTAGCGAATTTGATGGCGAGGTCACGACGGCCGACAAGTATGGGCATGGCTTCAGAGGTGGCGGTTTGAGAAAGTGAGGAGAGTTTATGTAGTGACTAAGAAAATCTTAGAATTTTAATAATGTAATTCATGTATTTAAGTCAAGGATTTTCCTGGAAAATCATTATACTATGTACATTTTGTGATTGAAGGATTTATGGAATTAACATCTGCATTCCTAAATTCTGTGACGACCCTCCTATGAGGCCGCCACTGTTACTAACTTTTTAACTTGTACTTACTGGGGTTTCTTAAAATTTGCGGAACATTTTTTTTTTTTAATATAAGAAAGAATACTTTCATAATTTGTAACAATAATTTCAAATAAGTGAATCACTAAATTTCTTAAAGCTTTTCTTAATTTCAGTTAAGATAAAACGTTCTAAAAATATCTTTCAAACAGAGCAGCATTTGAACTCTTATTTCAAATACTCTTTAAAAGCCTTTCTAAAACTAGCCAATTCAATCGGGCCATTTAATTTTGACTTTAAAACGGATTTCGTGAGAAATCTTAAATTCAAGTACATCTTAAAGCCCTTTTAAAATCAATCGTTTAAATCGTCATGTTTAAAATTTGTTTATTTGTTGCATG